TTTGGCAGATAAGCTCCTCCCACATGTTCACTGGTAGTGAAGCTCCGCCCACTGCAACGCATCATCAGTGAAGCTCCTCCCACATGTTCACTGTTAGTGAAGCTCCGCCCACTGCAACACATCATCAGTGAAGCTCCTCCCACAGTAGTCGCATCATCAGTGAAGCTCCGCCCACAGTAGTCGCATCATCAGTGAAGCTCCGCCCACAGTAGTCGCATCATCAGTGAAGCTCCGCCCACAGTAGTCGCATCACCAGTGAAGTTCCGCCCACAGTAGTCGCATCATCAGTGAAGCTCCGCCCACAGTAGTCGCATCACCAGTGAAGTTCCGCCCACAGTAGTCGCATCATCAGTGAAGCTCCGCCCACAGTAGTCGCATCATCAGTGAAGCTCCGCCCACAGTAGTCGCATCATCAGTGAAGCTCCGCCCACAGTAGTCGCATCATCAGTGAAGCTCCGCCCACAGTAGTGGCATCATCAGTGAAGCTCCGCCCACAGTAGTGGCATCATCAGTGAAGCTCCGCCCACAGTAGTTCAGCAGTAAAAGCTGGAATATCTCCATCAGTTCACAAGTGAAGATGAGCATCAAAGCATCAGGAAGAGCTGAAATCTGCAAAGACTTTGTTTATTAAAGAGGACAGAGAGAACACACTGAAGATACTGAAGAACAAACAGGTTGGTGTTTATTTCTCTTTCTTTATTAATAGTGCTGATGGTTATAAAGCTTCAAGCAGATTTAGATTAGCTGTCATAGGAAACAATCTTCAGAGCTCTGCAATATAATTAACTTTTCTTTCTTTTAGAAGTTGGACAGAAAAATGATTTTGTTTGCTTTTGTTACGTGTTTCTTCTGAGCAGATATTCGTTGACTTGTTGTCTCTATTTTTAGTAGTAAAAGTATGAAGTGTGTTTATTTGGTTAGCTACAAAAGTATAATAGTATTTGTCTTTAGTTTGTTTTGGTGGATTCTGGGAGGCGTAGCTGATCAATAGTTACACATTATACTGTTCTTTGTTCTGTAATCTCTCATGAGACTTCACTTTCATTAAAAAGGCTCATTTAGTAAATGTAAGCTATTAATTTAAATGACAGACAAACACAAACTGGGTGCTTAATGCAAATGTAATTGTCCACATTTACAAACTCAGGCGATTGTGTTCGTCCATCTACACAAATGTCTCTTTATGTATAGAGACAAAAGAATGAGCTTAATCTCCATCAGTTTTAGTGATCGTGTAGATTTACAAAGATACACCACAAAACATCTGCAGCTTTTGCTTTTATTTCTAATCAAACACAAAAGCTCTTTAAGCAAATGCGTTAAATCGTATCTAAATGAATTCTAATTTGAATCTAAATGTAATATATGTGTACGCCTGTGCACCGGAGAAAAACACACAGCTTCCCTGTTTGTTTTAGATCTGGTCATAAGTTCTCGTGATCTAGACATAACAAAACAGCTGGAAACTTCAGAAAGTAAAAAGAAAATAATGTCACATGGCAATCCGTGTATCATTCGATCATTCTTTTTTTATTTAATATTGAAAGTAGAAAAATGAGAAAACAGCTCCTTTTTCGTTTTTTTTCCAAAAAACGAGAATTCATCTTAAATTTTATTTTTTTCGCTCAGGGGTGGAAAAATGAATAAACAGCTTGAATACTCAATTTCTACACGTGGGCGGGAATTAAACGCCCCTTTCTGCTGATTGGTCAGTCGAAGATCAAACCGTGCCGTCATCAGTTCTTCCGCAGTGTCATGCAGCAGAATAATAGTCCTCCACTGCTGCAGTTGTATGGATTAATTATTTTTCTAATCAAACAGACTAATGAATAGCTCGACACAACTCACACCGGGGCAGAGTCTAGACAGGGCTTTCTTCTGTGTAGACCAGCGATATTTAATGTGATAGGGGGTCATTAGTCTGTTTG